TAGGTACTTGAGTATGAAATAGACGCGCTAACAAATTCCCAGCATTTCCCAGATCCCACCTACACACGTGTACCGCGTTTTGTCCCGACGCAAGGACCGAACCAGAAGCACCAGGGTCTATGGCCGTTGGTTGGTCAACTCTTTTACGATAGGAAGAAAACGCCCGTGAAGTGTCCAATACCATGCACCCAAAACGCACGTCTATGGCCGTTTGAGCTCTCGAACTTTCAGAAGTGGGAAGTGGATCGGTTTCGTTTCGCATGAGCTAGACTGCCGAGCATTCAGCTGTGAGGAGGTAAGCAGATTCAGGTTTTTGGCGCGAAGTCGCCCATCTAGACTCGAGACTAGATCCTTATTCAAAAGGAGGGGTGTGATGGATACTACCCGAGTCATAGGCTCGAAATGCCTGTCCTGACCAACTCCCAAGCCCCAAGACGCCCATTTGAGCAACTGGCATATTATACTGTAAGTGGTTGTACGATGGATTTGAGACGCCAACTCGAGATATCCGTCGAAACTAGCTACATTATGCAGCAGGCTAGAGAACCCAAATAGAACCCTCGGACATCCTAGACCATTCCCCCTGTAGCAGACAAATCACAACTTAGCAATCAAGTTTCCACGTACACCTCTTATCAATAGGCACTTAATTTACGCACTTAGATTGAAGGCGCGAAAAGCGGTATGCTCCACGCTATATGTGACAGCTTCGACCAAGCTCCTTACCGTCTAGAGCGAGGTCTGCAACTCCGGGTATAGTTGCCTAGGCAACAGGTAACTCACAGATAATAAACTCTGTACTCCGAGTATGTTTTCGATATTAAACCTACCTAGCCTAGATATCCTAGTTATCTAACAGATCTCCTATTTAACTCTAGTGCTTTGGGGATAGTTGGGTTATTTTACACATGCACAAAGCCTATCAACCATTCCCAGAGACCTACTTATATGCAAGGGGATCACGGGCGTTAGGATCAACTTAGCCTATACGATTAAGCTTCGTTATAGTAAGGCCGAGATTGATTGAATGTTCAGATCACTCACCAAGTGCTCGAGCTAAACGACCTCACAAACTCTGATAGTCCCCAACCCTAAGCTGCGAACCCCCGTTGTCCCGAACCTAAAAACTCGTATTTCAAAGGAGCAGGCATTCCCTTTCTTTGAATGACTCTCCATAAACCCTAACAAGGCGGATGGGAGAGAGCGAGCGAGAGGAATATGGATCCAAGAAAGTGCGTCTATACCTAGTTACAGGTAATAATAAGGAGTTGACAGTCCGCTTGGGGTTGTTCCTTCATATAATGACTAGGTAGTTAGTATAAGTGTTTACTTATTATAAATATTTGTTTATACCGACTGTTATCGTGTTGTTTATTTTCCCTTCACACCAACATGCACACATAACACACACTCTCTCATCTATTGATATCACCTATAATCAAGCAATATTTTCTTGTCTTTCTCCGCCAGACTTCTGGACCTTGCAGATCAAAGTTCTATTTTTTGGGAATAGTGAATGGCAAGTGGCTAGGAACTGCGACCCAATTTGGCCAAATACGTCTCTACGTTCTCTATAAGCCGAACACATTAGCTAAAGAGTCAGGCGATTGTTAAGACAATACCTTCTTTACGTATGTGAGTACTCCTCCGGCACTGCACTTATATGGTACCTGATTGCGTGTAGAGACAATCTTTCAAGCTTACGGCCTCGCTGCGGAGCCTGATAGACCACGGAAGGCTGCAACTAGGATGAAGGAATCGGCACGAAAAAAGCAACATTTGTAGCGGCAATTGTTTAAGTGGAAATCAGGTATCCATGGCCAATCCACTTGTAGCCCTTAAAAGTTGGGTAAAAGCCATTTATGCCCATTCAACTTGGAACTTCTAAAGGGTGAGTAGTGCCAAATATATGCACCAACTGCATCAAGAGAGCCGCTGGTATTACTAGATGGTCGTTATTGATTATAGTCGAGGCAGGATTGCAGTCGCTGCCAACTCCCCTCAACCACCCACTATCTCCGCCTGTTGCTCGCCTCCTGTTCCAACACGCCCGGCTCAGGACACTCTAACCCATGCCTACGCTGGGCAAAAGTGGAACTTGGGTATCCTTGGCCATTCTATAAAACTTTTCCATATTTTGGTGTAAGTTTCCTTCTTTTCTTCCCAGTGATCAAGATTGAATCTCTAACTTCGGTTGCTCTGTTAATAGTGTATCGGGCGCCTTGCGAACGCTTGGAAAATCTTGTAAGACTTCAAGTATGGACCGGCGTGGTCTAGACGTATAATCCCAAAACTCATCGGAACGGCCGAGAACCTTCGAGCCTTTTATATTTAGTCCGAAGGTTAATTGTTTGTTATTTTCCAACTCTCCTCACGCGCAACGCAACATAGGTACAAGAAAGGGGATGTGGTCCCTGCAGTGGTCCTTTTAACAATGGCTGTACCGGCGTACGTTACCTCCTTCTGTATCTTGCTCTTGCTAGGCTTGTTTGCTAGATGCTAATGAGGGACTTTCATTTCCAGCTTCTTCGCACTGGTTGACCTAGTATCCCGAGCCGAGGCAAGGCTACTTACTAACAATATCGGGCTTGAGATCTAATACTCAGCCTTTCTTTAATCCTTGGCCACTGTACGACTTCTGTTGTACGGAAGTGTCTCACGTTTTGAATACGAGCCTGCAAGTCTCAATGGCACTCTTTCTGGCTTTGGATGTACCACGCATTAGAATTGTCTCGCGTGAGGCTATTCAGCTCTCGATTATCTAAGACATTCGGTTGAAGGTCGGCGGTTGGGAAATCAAAGGATATGTATATATAGCCTCAATTATCCAGGGGAGGGTCAGGAAGTCTTCCTAATTGGTCAAGGACCCAGTCGCCCCTTAGTAGATTATGGTTAAATTGAATATACCCTCAAGTCTGCCTTAAGTCCCTTGTAATAACTTCCTTTCAATGTCATATACGCTGGGAACTAAAGCCACAGCTACATTGGCCCGGCAGTTCTTTGACGCAGACCGGCACGGTGAGGATGCTGTGAGTGGATTTGACAAGAGCATATAAGCCATCACAAATAAAAACGCCAAAGTATCAGAACATATTCACCCCTGGTATCATGCCTGGAGCAAACGCTTGGCAGGAATCCGCATATAAAACATACTCACAGCTGTTTAGCATTATACTTAGGTCAACTGTTGAAAAATTAGCAATATAAAGACACAGTAAATAATATATTAATTTATCAGCATAAACAGATTTATCATCATACAATGCTTATACCAGAGTATATTAGTAGTTCATTACCCTAACTCCTAATTCAAACCAAAATAATTTATTTTACATAAGGAGTAGCGAATTCTTTCTTTAACCTAAGTGCCGAGTTGTACAGGAATGATAATATATAGCATGAGAATACGATGAGCTCTCTACAAGCATAGCATTGTCCTACATCAAGGGTATAGCAATTCCATTCATTCGGAGTTCTCTCCAGCACCGATCCACCAGCGCCACTGTACTCATCATCTCAAAATCAGCAATGATGGAAGCGTGGCAAGTCATATATATAGTCTGGGGGACTTACGAGTGCCTGGCACCAGAAGATGCTCTCCATGGTGCCGAGTATACCGATGGTGGTGTATACCACGAACTTGGTGATACGGTTCATACCAAGATCCCTGAAACTGACTTTGAAGTCTTCTTCTGATGGCGTCGAGTTCTGGGCATTGTCTGATTTCGACTGCGTTGGTAGTTTATCTTTGCCTGCGGTTGTGGCGACGTTGTTTTTGTTGAGGAGGGAAGCAGAAGATGATGAAATCAGGCGAGCGCCTGCGATGGGACCGCTTCTTGACTCAATGCTATATGGTCTATTTATACGTGCAATGTTTTTTCCTAGCATGTTGATCGGAAGTGGTGCTCTGTATAAGCTAGGACGGCGTGTAAGTGGTGGCATCTCTCTCTTTACAGCGCCTGAGGCTGATGATAGGAAGGACTGAACAGACATGATTTCAAAAGGCGGAATAGTCGACGTGTTGATGGAATAAAGAGATATAAGGCAAAACAAACAAATCTGTCGCGGGAATTCAATCATTATCTTATATACTTTCTTGTCGCCTCGAACAATTGTCCTGGCTTATTCTGTGAGCGGCTCGTAAGGGACAAGGAGCAGGGATTGGGCGAATACGCCGTATTCAGAGACATCATTTCCTAACCGGGCAATTCCCTACACGAACGTCATCTCGAGCCAAAGACTCCATGCAACGAGCAGGACGTAAGGTATTTGAGAACAGGAATAAGGCTTGAATAGACATCGTGATGTCCTGGTTTCTATGTCTCACTGGAGGTGAGATTTGTTGCTTGCCGATCGGCGCGGGTATAGCGTTCGCTCGATGAAGAGTGGCTGGCCATTAATACCGTGACACACCAAACGAACGGGGTCTATCAACATGGCCATTCCTAACAGTATGAAACTTATTTCACACTCATACATCAAATGGATCTATCTTCGAAACAACAGTAGCCTTCGGTAAATGCAGCTACTATATATGATATGGCTGCAGTAAGACAGAGTATCTAGTATGGTAGGTATATAGACTTAGGATTGTAATGAACAACATTTCACTTCCTTGGTCCGGCCTCAATAGAGTTAGTTCTCGATTGTAGTTGCGACTTTTTGGAATGAGATCATTTTCCAAAACAAAAAATACTTATCATGCCTCTTCAGTTACAAGAGTATCTACAGTGTGTGACGCCGTACTAGGTAGCTCCGTATATTCCTTACATCTACCTAGGTTATTCCAATGTCTCAGGCAGGCTATTTACGACAAAGTTTGGGGTTTGGGCTTCGTTCATACGAAATGTTCAATGGAAGGAAGGAACAGCGCACATGGTGGCTAAGGGCCGGGTATAACAAGGCGTTGGGGTAGGCACATTAGGTACCTACCGTATGGCTGTAGCCACTGCGTAACATAGGTATACCAGATGGCAACTCGTCGACAGCGCAAAAAATTGTGCTGTGACCGAGAATCGAACTCGGGGCCTAAGTAATTCATAGTGAGAATACTGGGAAACTTAGATGTTACCATTACACCATCACAGCTTGCTACGAACCGTTTACGAATTCGTCCAGTTTTTCTCGTTGGGGTAGCTTGGCAATATCTTATCTTATACACCTGTTATCAATTGGCGCCCTTACGTGCGGCAGCGGTACTAGCGCGGGTCCTACTGGTGGGAAGCTAGTATGGGACATAACTAGCCCATTGGGCAAAGCTCATCTGTTACAAAGGCTCAGCATCTGTACACGAGCAGACGCCCACTTTATTTATGTGACCTGGCTGAAGCTCTCGGCTGTGTCACCCCACCAAGCCATCTCCCCCCCATCGTCACAGATCGGATTGACAAGCGCTTTGACGGGGGGCTTCAGGTCCACTATGAATAACACTTAATCACCTACAGCTCAATGCACACCCGTGATTAACACGAATATCAAGCACGTGTGCATTGTACCTTTTATTTATATCTAGCAACTAACCTACCTACCTAGTCATCATCCATCGAGCAAAAGACCAGACAATTGCACAGTCAGTCATCACTACCATAGCTACCAGCCAGCCCACCATGAGCAAAGGCGGCGACAAGATCGAAAAGATCATCGCGCGGCTGCAGCAGCGAATTAGCGAGGGGCAGTTCTACGAAGCCCAGCAGCAGACCCGCGTCGTCGCCGCACGCTACACCAAGGCCGCCAACTGGACCGCCGCCGTCGACATCCTGTACAATGTCGCCCTGTCGCTGCTGAAGGCCGGCCAGGGAGGCAGCGGCGGCGACCTCTGCGTCCTCCTCGTCGACACCTACAAGCTGGCCGAGCTGAAACCCGACCCCGCCACCAAGGGCAAGCTGCTCACGTGCTTACGTCTGTTCGACAGCGAGGAGCCCACGCGCAAGAAGTACATCGGGGAGATAATAGCGTAGGTCCAGGCAACTCTTTCTTTCTTTCTTTCTTTCTTTCTTTCTATTCGGCCACGGACTCTACCTAGTGGGAAGAGAGCTATCTATGGGAGAATGTGCTAGCTGACACAGAAGGCTGCTGTCTACAGATGGTCCTCAAAATACGGCGAATACCCCGCCGGCGACCCTGAACTCCACCACGTCGCCGGCTCCCTATACGCAGAAGAGCACGAGGCTTACGATGCCGAGAAGCACCTGCTGCTAGGTACCAAGGATTCCGCCGAGGTGTTGGCCCGCATGGAATACGAGTGGTTCAAGGAGGACGAGGCACACACGGCCGCCACATACGCCGGTCGGGCGGTGCTGCCCTACCTGATAACAGCGAACGTCCGAGCCGCCAACACAGCCTACCGAGTCTTCACCAGCGCACTGAGCGACGACAAGGGAGCACAGCTGGGAACCCAAGACGTGAGCAGCAATAGTGCTGATCTGCGCGTGTTCCCCAGCATACCGCTCCTCAATTTCCTCGGCCTGCTGTTGCTCGCCATTCCTAGAGGCAACCCGGAACTATACAGGCAGCTGACGGCAAAATATGCCGGTCATCTGAGAGAACTCGAGGTGTGGAACGAGGCGCTAGAGATAATTTCCGAGATATACTTCGGCATTACGAAACCCCGGCAGACGAACCCCCTGATGGACATGATGAGTGGCTTCTTTGGTGGCGGTGCTTCTGCGGGTGGGAGCGCGAAGAAACCTGCCGTCAAGGCTCCGTCATCGACCTCGATGCCGGCGGCGGAGGGGTTGGACTAATCAAGATGCACTTTGGAACACTCTAGTATAGACAGCCAGCATAGAGATTATGACGAACAGTATTCCTTCCCATGTTCAATGCACACGTGGTGGCTCTTCGGCCTCGTACATCCAATTGTCTTCTGCCAACGCGGCTGTTTTCGCCCTCATGCTAGCCTTCAATACCTCTAGTACTTCTGTTTGCATTGTTAACCTCGGACGATTAGCACGGCCTTGTCCTCGCTTACCTTCAGGTTGCACCAGCATGCGCGTGTGATTCATCTGATGATGTCGAACGGCCTCTGCCAATCTCTGTCTTTCGCCTATATGGACACATATCATCATAAGCACATGACTCTCTCCTAAAGAACTCGACAGTATGGAAAAAATAGGTGATTTGCATACGCTCATTCTCCTGCGCATCATCAAGAGCAACCTCATCATCAGGGTCCTCAAGCGGCGGCGTAGGCGGGTCCTCGATCTCGAAATCTCCGTTCTGGTCACGGATCACGATCTCCGAAGTCTCGGACAAAACATCGAGGTCCAGACGTAGTGTCTCGGCTGAGTTTGTCGAGGACGACGTAGTCATCGATGAATTGTTGGTTTCATTGTTATGATTGGCGTGATTGTTGTTGTTGTTGTTGTTGTTGTTGTGGCGATGGTGATTTGCCCCCATGCCGCCGAATTTGGCCGTCTCGGTCGGTGTTGGACGCCGCGTCAGCTGGCTCTGGAAGAGATTGCGTCGGGCACCTGTTGCGCTCGTTGCTGCGCGCGTTATGCGGGTTGTGCCCGGCCGGAGGGTCGGGAGTGGTGCGCGATCGACCATGTTTGTGTTATATAGGTTGTTGGAAGTTGTTTTGGTGATGAGATGGAGATGATGGTGGTGGTAGGGCTCTGACGGATGGTGTGGTGGGATGCTTGCGCTCGTGCGATTGGTAAGGATATTAGTTCGTGTCGTGCGAGGACTATTGCGTTGAGACACTGTTTGTTATTCAGGGTTGATGGTCGAGTTTCAATAGGTTGCGCGAAGGGAAGCTTGTGATTATCGGATGGTTTAGATAGTTGCCTAGGCAAGTAAATAGTGATGCGGGAGCTTGCACTAGACCCTGGCTCTTCGTGGGGCAGTGTATAGTACCTGATTGATAGCAAGGTGGATATTGATGTTGTTAAAGAGATGGAGTAATTGACATGGCACCCACTGTGAGGGGTATTTTTATAGCACTGTCCTTTGTACTTTCCCAGTACCTGTAACGTTGGTGTATGGAAAAGTAGTTGTAATTGGGATGAAGCTATTAAATTAAGTAGGTAAGCTAGTTTTAGGCTATTTGAATTTGTTGCACTGCTATAACGCCACACCGGCTAGACTTCCCAAAACGAGCACCGCCGAGTTATATTTCGCCATTATCGTCAGATTGGTGAGAATCTTGATTTCCCTGAGATAAATTATTTTTATCTAAAGTCGTGAATTTCGGTATACCACGAAGTTTTTTTCGGAAACTTATATCCTGGTTAAAATTACGTTGTTCAGCAAAGCTTATTTTTTCGTCCAGAGTTTTTTTTTTTTTTAGGTGGGTTTTTATTGCCCGGGGAATTTTTTTTTAATAATGCCTATATTAAAGTCTGGTTTAAGTAGTTAATTAACTCCATATTTTTTTCCTGGATTTTTACTAGTTTAAACTGTATTTTGGTGTATTAATTTTTAAAATACTGTTTTTGTATTTTTAGTTAAAATATAAGCTGGTTTTTTATTTTTAATTAAGTTTTTAGCAATTAATTTTCCGATTTAACTGCTTTTAAATTTTTAATTTTTAGTTTTAGCTGTGTATTTTTTTTTTATAATTTTAATAAGTTAAAGCTTAACCTAAAAAAAAACGAAAACGCACGAAAAAATATATTAAGTGTAAGCAATAAATCGGAAATTTTTCGAGATTAATTAATTGAAAAGTTACTAAATTTTTTTATATTTAAAACAAGTGAATTTTTTTCTAAAGGTTTAAATTCGCGATTTATAGTTTAAACGTTATTAATTTTTAAGCGTAAAGTAAACAGGCTTAAATTGGGTACCGAAATTTTTCCGTTATTATTAAAAATATTATTAGCAGAAATATTAATAGTAGAAATATTAATAGTTTTAGCAAAAACTTCCGTTATTTTTTTTTTTTTTTTTAACGGGAGTATTAGCTATAACAATACGATTTTTAAATTTTTCGGTAAAATTAAAAAAATTTAGCTTTTTTAAATGTACTTTAACTTTATAAAAAAGTTTGTTTGTAAAAGCGATTTCGATTTTTTTTTTTTAAAAAAATAAATAAACTATAGGCCAGTATAATTTCCAACTATATATAGTTTAAATTGGTTTATTTACGATAAACTTTTTTTTTTATATATGCTTTAATTTTTTAAATAAATTAGTTATTATTGTTTTTATAATTTAAGCACCGGTACACTTTTAAATTTCCAAACAAAATTTGTGTTTTTTTTTTTTATTGCTGTAACAATTAATTTATATTTAAAAGCTTTGCCGATTTTATTCGCAAAAAAATATTGTTAAATACTATAAACGATTTTATTTTTTAGTTTAAAAGTAGCTTTTAATCGTATCAGCTAGGTTGCGGATTTATAATATCGGTAAAAATTTTTTTTATTTTATTTAATATTATAACAATTGGTTTAAAAAATCTATATATCGAGTTTAATTGTTTTATTTTTTTAAGCATATAAAAAAACATTTAGTTTAACAGAAAAAATCCTTTTTTTTTTGTAAATAACATATAAATACTTTAAAAATATAATGCTTTTTTTTATTTATTGCTTTCGAAAAAATAAAAGTTTTTCCGTTATATTTTTTTTCTTAATAATTTTATATAGCAAGTTATTTAAGCATGCAAAATATTTAACTTTTTTTAAAAAGCTTATTTCGATAGGTTTTTTCAAAAGGTATAAATAATTTATTTAAGTTTGTCGGTAAATAACTTGTTAATAAAACTTTTTCCGTAGGGTTTTTTCGGTGTAACCAAACGAATTATAAAGTTAAATAAAAATAGCTGCATTTTTTAAGGTTATAAAATTATAAAATCCAAGTTTAAAAAAAATCTTGCATTTTTTATTAATTGATTTATAATAATTTTTAAAAAGTTTTTATATTTTTTTTGCCTTTTGGTTTGCCAAATGTTTACTTATATAATAAAATAAAAAAAATAAAACCAAATTTCTTAATAAATATATACTAAAAATTAGCGCCAGCAAGTTAGTATAATACTTTTTATTTAATTTCTCGGAAATTTTTGCCAGTTTTAAATATGTTTAAATAAATAAGTTTAAGCTTGTTAGTATTTTAATTTGTATTGTTTGTTTAATTTGCTGAGG